AACTATTATCATGTTGTTCTTCTAATTCCTAATAATCAAAATATTAATAATGTCATTAATTCTAATTCTAATTCTAATTCTAACCCTAACCCTAATCCTAACCCTAACTCTAATTCTAATTCTAACCCTTAACTCTAATTCTAACTAATTTCAACTCCAATTTTAATACCCTCCCGCTCGGCTTTCAGCCTCGCTACTCCCCTTTGGGAAGCAAATAACCTAGCAAACCTTTACAATAATAAATTTGTTATCATACCTGTTCTTAATTAAGTTCCAATTCAGAAGGTGAAATTAAAATTACTTGAAGATATAAGCATTATGCTATTTCTATTTTAATAGCATTTAATGTATTTATACATAAATACTTCTTTAATGTTTCAACTATTGATGGAAAAAGATCTTCACCCATTGATACTGAAATTGAACTAGTAGTTGAAGATCGATATTCATGAAATCTTCCCCATTGAATTTCTGTAATAAGCCATTCAGCTAAGCACTCAACAAGTTGACATAAAGTAGAATTGCTTCTAATTGTTCTTTTAATAATACCATTCATTTCTTCAACTCGTGAAGTACTCTCAATACCAGCAGTAAAAATTTGTCATAAATAGCATTGTGCCCATGATTTATTAGATGGCCATAATACTCTAAGAAGATAATCTTTAGCTAATGGAAATTTTTCTAATAAATCATTCTATCGCAAAAAAAACAGTGATTCATTAAGACTATTTTGACACTTATAGAAATTTTTAATAAAATCAGTATATTGGTTTCCTAATTTAGCTTTTAAATTCTTTGGTAAATTTTGTCCAATATGATATATACAATATGCATGATAACTATTTGAAAATTGAAGAGGAATTGCAGCATTTAAAGCTGGATCAGCATCAGTAAAAACTACAATAGGTTGTTTTTCTGTTGCTTTAAGTGCACATTATAAGATCCATTGATAAGTCTCAAAAGTTTCATCACCAACAATAGCTTGTGCAAGTAATCTAGTACGTCCATTATTATCAATACCAACAAATACACTTAAAGGCATATTGTATGTATTGGTTCTGGCCGTATTATCATTGATTATAACATCATAATACTTAATCCAAAGAATAATTTGCTCAGAGGTCATCCAGAAAAGGCGAGTTAGACGATTATCTGTATCTAATTCAAATTCAAAAAAAAATCGAGGATCTTCCTGTTTTTTTTGAACAAGGCTAATTAAAAGATTTGATGCATCATTATTCATATTGAGTTGATTGAAAGCTTTAAATCTTTAGATTGCATTTGCCAAATCAGAATCCTTAAAATTGATCTTTGAAAATCTGCCCTTTAAAAGATTTCGTTGTACAGTAATTGAAAGATTACTATGTTTAGTCATTATCTTTATTTCATCCATCATTTCTTTAGTTAATCCTCGATATTTATTACTGAATTCAGAAGTCTCAGGTTTCAATTCATGATTGTGTTCATTTTTAAACAGGCTGATGGTGATTTTTGTAGCACGCTCTGGAAATGTTAA